TAGGCTTAAATACGGGATGAAACTGATGCGAACATCACGAATGGCCAAACCAAAATCAGAAAGCAAATGGAACCGAGTAGATCATATATTTTAATTTCCCAGCCACCAAAAGAAACAATCCAAAATTTACACTTTTTCGTAGGCTTTAATGTTGCGCGCAAGCAAAAAGCCCATACCGGAGGCAAAGAAGCTGAGTAGTGTGATGCCTATTAGACATCCTCCAATTGTGCCCAATTCGGCCTCAATCGCATACACGATAGCAGTTTCGCAGTGCTAAAATTGAGAGCAGAAGAAATAGCAATATTACGTCCAATATCATACTACGGAGGAGATGGTGCTGTAAATTGCATTAGGTCGTGGCGTTTCTCGATAATAAGGACTGTCGAATTATAATGTGCAACAGAGATCAAGAAGGTGCAGAGTGCAGTTTATCTCGGTTGCAAAGGGTCGTCGTTATCCCTTTCCTCATATTTACAAGTTCGATCAAGCGACGACGTCAAACGAGATTCCTACGTCCCAAGCGGGTCTTCAATTACCAGAAGTTACTTATAGATAATTATAGTAGTCGAAACGGCAGTAATATTTGCGACCAATTAACCTACTATCTTGACATAAAGATTTGTGAGCAAATTTAAGAATCTCCTTGGGCACACGTCTAGGAAAGGAATACTAACATCTTAAAGGCAGAGCTCATCATAAAGTAAATTGTCATTTGTTTATAGTAAGAAGGGTCGACAACACTGTTTGCACCCGAGGCTCTTAAAATTGCATTCAAAGGCAAATGATTTAAGTTTGCTAATTGGCTTTAGCCCAAAAATATAAAGAAAAAAACCTGAATTTATAAAGCTTTACCGGTATGTTGCTATCATGTTCGTTGCTCGGGAAATCTCCTCTTCGAGTATATGATGGTTTGTCACTTACAATGCAATCAAACTAAACGTGAAAGTAAACAACATAGGCCATGTCAAACAAAGTAGGGAACATAGAATTTAGGAGAAGCGCTAAACCATCCACTAAACTTACAGTGGCCTCCATCCAGTCAGTGAAAGTAGTCCACCTTTTACTCGCCCTGTATTTTTTCTCGCCTTGGCGAATAACCTCTCTAATGGTTTTTTCAACAGTATAAAGTATCTTGTAGGAGGAGTGATTAGTAAATTGGTATTGTAAAGACAAAACTAACCGAATTACGTTGGACAAAGCCATATATCAAAAAGCAAAGTGTGGAGCAACCGATTAGCAGGACAAAAACCGCATACTAAAAAGGAGATGAAGGTAAATTCACTGGAAGTCGACCATATACCGCATTGAGTACATTTGAATTCGCCCGAAGTGCTCCAAATACGCCTAAAAACGCAGCCACAATTATGACGAGGCCATGCACAATGGCTCCAATAGCGATATTCTTCGGAAGATTGAGAGTCTCGGAAACAAACATGGTTTCAAAATGAACAAAGTCAAGGATTCCCAAGATGACGATTGCCAGACCAGAGAACTAAAAATAGAAGGACATTCGCTTATATTTAAAACATTACGACCCATGCAGTACCTATATATACTCTTTATCAAAGTTCATGGTAGGACTTCCATATAAACTTCATCGACGATTGCTAGAAATAACAAAGTACTATGCGCAAAGATTCGTGGCCACATATCATAGCACGTTCATCATCTCCGGAAGAGGAAGAGGAAGAGTGTTAAGTACTGGGGCAAATTTTATTCATGCTGAAGTTTCGAAAACATGCTCTTTCCCATCATCAGAGTGGAGTGCTTACTCTTCCGCCGCGAACGAGCATGTTTTCGAAAAATCTGAATGAGTGGCATTTTGTTCCAGCACTTGCCCTAGTTCCATTTCAAGGGACGATGAACACGATATAACTAACTACTTTGTTCGTTGTAGTTTATTATCTAGTTCTATTAGTCTTATTTTAGTTTTTAGTTTAATATTTAATTGACTAATTTTAGTTTAATTTTAGTCTATTTTCGTTCATTATTAATTTTTAATTCTTCAAATATTCCCATTTAACGAATGAGAAGTCATCTTATTAGTTTTAGTTTAGTTTGGTTCTTTTAGTTTTGCTTCTGTTATGATGTTTATAAGGAACCCTTACCAAGTTCACATGTTCAAGCTACTTCTAGACGACGTATTGCTCATTCATCGTTTGATACTCTACACTTATGTATATATAACAACGTACGCTTAATATAGTATGGTTTGCATACATATTAACTAGGTCTATTATTCCACGTGACAGGTGTTAATGAACAAATAAACCAATTTTTGATAGCATGGGCATTGCGTTCCTGGTATGAAACCCCTTTGTACTTTCCCCTGATAATTAAGATTATTTAACACTATCATTGCACAGAAGTAATGTTAAGTAATTTTTGCACTGTTAATAAGCATGAATTGCTACAAAATTCTAGCTGGTGGGTACTCCCTACGTTATGGTTGAATTGATCAAATTTGCATTAATCTGAAAACACTGAAATAATGAAAAATTTGGAGCAATGAAGTGACACAGTAAGATAACTTCACTGACTTTCCAGACCAAAGAGGACTCCATTTGCAATAGAAACTTACAAAGGAGAGGGTATTGCAAGCGACAATGACGAACTTCATGATTTTCGCAGTAGTTGACAAGCCTGCCATTATGAAAAATGTTCACATCAACAAAGGATTTGGGCATTTTTCTGAGTGTTCTTTTATATAGGCCTTCAGAGACAGACAAGGATTGGCTTGTGCAACGGAATGGGCGTCAACCGTTGGGAACCGAGACAGGCAGTAATGTTTAACATTGTTTAGGAACGGAGGCATTGTCAATTATGTCTTTGCGAATACCCTCGATTTAGGAATAATAATTCAGTCGGCGGAAACACCTGACAGACAAATCTCGTAGCCCCACGTGAGTGGAAACGAACTAGCCCA